TCCCGCCCGTCGCCTCCCCTTAACCAGCCTGGCCTAGCCTGGGGGGAGGTCAGGGCGGGGTCTTTGAGACCTGGGGTAACACCGCACCTCCCTGAGCCCCAGTTCTGTCTCCCCCTCCCCAGGGAGAACGAGGGGACAACTGAGGTCAAGGGTGGAGGTTCCCAGAGGGGAACCCTGCGGCCGAGGGGCACAGTGATTACCAGGACTGCTTCAGGCAGGAGTCCCGAAAGTGCTCCCGTGGGCCCTCAGCCGTCCCCTGGGGGACAGTGACCTCTGGCCAGAAAGCCGGCGTGCAGTGGGCAGGGACCCATGAGACCAAGGAGCCGGGCACTGGCAGAGAACTCAGCCCGGGACCACGGGCACAGGGCTGTGTGTGGCCACAGCGGTGGCGTCTGAGGGACACAGCCTGCGCTGCGTGCTGAGTGTGCCCGGGGCTGTAGGGGAGCGGCTTCGGCCGCACATCTGGTTGTACAGATCTGGGCCCTGTGATGTTGCTGGGCGAGGGCCTGAGGGCTGGAGTGTGCTGTGCTGCTGTGTGTGCGTGTGTGCGTGTGCTAGCACAGCTGTGCTGTGACCTTCTGCGGTGTCCCCGTCACGGGGGTGTCGAGGTCCAGCTCTGCGTGACCTGGCCTGTGTGCTGTGTCACCGGAGCATATGGGAGCTACCCCAAGGGCAGTGCTGGGGCCGTCCTGGCCCAGTGTGCCTTGTGTGTGCCTTGAGTCGAGCTGGGGATGCGTGGGCTGGGGGCCCTGGGTGTGGGTCACCCAGTCGGAGGGGGCGGAACCTGGCACCTCTCACCGGCACCAGCAAGAACGTGCCAGTCTGGCAGGGCCCGCTGGGCCGCCTCCTTCCGGTACCTGTAGGCCAATATCTGCCCTCTCCTGGGCACAGAGCAGCCCTGAAGGAAGCAACAGACAGCCCCCACCCAGGGAGGGGCCCGAAGCCCCGACTGGGCAATGCCAGGCCCGGGTTCCCTCTGCGTCCCGCGGTGGGGGGAGCAGGGCCGAGGGCCACTGTCTGGCAGCGGGGCGGCAGGACTCACCAGTTGGAGGATGTCCTCGTCCTTGGGCATGATGGACAGCTCCAGGATGTCGTCGCTGCAGGGACAGGGCGGGGGCCAAGGTCAAGCCGGGCAGAGGACAGGGACCCGGCTGCCAGGGTCTGGGGTGCTCTTCTGGGAGGGGAGGCGGGCGCTCACCTGTTCTGGATCAGCGCTATGACCTGGGAGTAGGTCTTCCCGATGACACTCTCCCCGTTCACCTTCACCAGCCGGTCTCCTGGGGACAAGGTGGGGCCGCGCATGAGAGGCAGGGGGTGCCCCGCAGGGGACGGATGGCAGTGGGAGTCAGGAGCCTGCCCGGCACCTGCACCTGGGAATCCCGCCCAGCCCAGGCTCTCACCTGTACGGAGTCCCGCCCTGTGTGCAGGGCCACCATCCTTAACATTCTTCACAAAGATGGTGTCCATGGGCTCCAGGCGGTGCCGCGGGGAGGGGCCTGCGGGCATCAGCCAGGTTAGGGGGCTGTGCTGAGCTACACAGGCCCTGCGTGGTCACATCCGCACACACGGCACACACACGTGCTCGTGCCCACAGGACCCGCTGGCCAGACCCACATGCACAGAAAGCCAGTGCCAAGTCCCTTTCAGCAACCAGGCTAAGTGGATACCAAGATGCAGTCCTTGCCGGGCGTGGTGGTGCACACCTGTGATCCCAGCACTCAGGAGGCTGAGACAGGAGGATCGCTGTGAGTTCAAGGCCAGCCTGGCCACATAGTGAGTTCCAGGCGGCCTGAACTGCATAGCAAGACCTTGTCTCAGAAGATCAAAAACAAAAAAAAAAAAGACAAAGGACAAAAGTTGCCCAAGAAGGTCCGTATCAAGTCCTGAACATATGCGGCGGCTCTGGAGATCCACACAAGGAAAAGGTCCCCTCACACACCGGGGCACACCCAGCACTCACACCTCCACCCACTCCCCTAGGGTTGGGGGCTCCTGGGCAGGCTTGCACCCAGTTACACCCACAGAACCCACCCTGGGGGGGCCAGGCACAGTGCTGGCCTACTGTGTGCCTGCCCACACTGCCGCCATGCCACCCACAGAGGGCCCAGGGACACAGGAGGGCTGTGCCACGGCTGCCTGCAGCGCCCAGGGAGGTGGAGTTGACAAGGATGACAGGCAGGGGTGAGGCTGGAGTGGAACGAGACCTGCGGTCCCCACTCCCGCCAGGGCCCCACCACCTCTATCTGCAAGGTCACCCTGCTCAGGGCCGTGGCAGCCCCGCCTAGGCTCTGGGCCGAGCCTCGAGGGAGGCGCGGTGCTGCCCATCTGCTGCCCAGGGTGCCAGGGTCTGCGGAAGGGACAGGCCCGTGGGGAGACAAACGTGAGAAGAGGGAGGGAGGAGAGGGAGAGAGAGGAGGAGCTGCCTAGGCCAGGAACAGAGCAGTCGAGAACAGAAGTGGGGAGGCAGAGGGGGGCCGGGGCCGCACCCCACCAGCCCCCACCCAGCGCCACCACCAGCAGGCACTCACCTCCTCCTCCTCT